CGCCCGTTTATGGCCAGTAACGTATTTATATAGTGAAGGACCACCCAATTCGACTGAATTTAGCAATTTTGTCGATTGTAATAAGGAGTCCTGTTAGATATACGTCAACTTAAATTAACTTAACTTGTAATTAATTTAGTATCCGTTGGTTAGTTATAAAATAAACTTTTAACATTCCAAACATATCAACTTTGGCTCTTAACAAAATAAAAATAATATATCAATTGTGATTATCAGAAGAGATTTAAAATCAAGGTTCTATGTGTTCTACGCGAAAAATATTTTTGTATTGCATTTCTTTAGTTCTAAGTTTTCAAATATTTATACATGATAATTTAATTTAAATATATATATATTTTAAACCGATGAAATGTTAGATTTAATGTAAGAGAATATAACATAACTAAAAAATTTACATGTATATTAATATTTAAATTTAATATAATAAAATTTTAAATATTATCATTAATATTGTTTTTTTTTAAAATGTATGTTAACAGATGGCAATATTTTTATATTATATATTATTATATTATATATTAATGATAATATATATTAATATAAAAATAAATTAAATTTTTATATAATATTAATATATATATATTAATATATTAATGATATATGATATTAATATAAATATTTATGATTCATATTTTAAGATTTTTTCCTTGCTATATCGATAAAGCAAATCACTAAATCCAGACAACTAGATATGATTCCAATTTTTTGGGGCGAAATATGAAGCAGAACACATAAAATTTAGGATCGAAATAACATATATCAAAATTGGAATCAAGTGTGGGGAAACAAGTATTTTGATTTGGCTGTTTCAGGTTCGCGCCCACCACATGAATTCAATTCTGTACTACACTATCCCGGTTATGGCTATGGTGGAGATACCGATAGCTTTAGATATAGACATAAAACAAGTTTGGGAAAAAAATAAGAAAATTCTTACTAGGCAGTAATTACCGAATCAGAGTAAACGCTGTGCTGGAAGTTATTTTATCTAAGATTGTAAGCGAGATTACAGGAGAGATACTGAGAAATTAATTTGTGTTACCTAACTTGACACAGTGAAAGTTGTAAATTATTTATCATATATTTTTTATGGAAAATTTTATATACAAGATAAGTAGTTTTAAAAAATACCTTAATAATTTATATATAAATAATCATTAATATCATTAAATAATCATAGAGCACGCAATAATTTTTTTTTTTGATTTCTTAATAATCATTATTAAACTTTTTTGTTATTATTATTTTAATAAATAGCTTTGTTTTAATAAAATAAAGTAAAAAAAAAATATTACAACTTAGAAAATGTCTATAAAATGAAAATAAATAATAAATTATTTCATTCAAATGTAAAGTACCTACAACGAGTTTCAAACTTTACAGTAACTGCTTAACATTTTAAACAGCACACACAGTTTGAAATGTATTGTAAAAGTCATGCCAGTTGAACATCTGTTTGATTAGAAACAGCTGATATTGCTTAACGTGTGATTAGCCTTTGCCAAAATATTTTAGTAAATATTTTGTTTCTTTTCTTTCTTAATATGAATAATAGACTACTAACAAAGTTTATAGCAATCAGTACCACAGTATCCGGTGCCTTTCTCTTAGGTCGCTATACAGAACGACAACAAAGTAACAATGGAAACAATGTACAAAAGGTTAGTTTGCTGCTCATATGATTTTTATGCAAAGTTTACATAACTAAATCCATAGCTTACACCAAAACCTGGTCTACCAATTTTTGCTACTGTTTCTGCTGCCGTACCAGTACCCGCCGATGAAGTCAACCTCACAGCAACACCGACACGCATATCGCAAATTATGAAATTTGGCTTTCCAAGTCTGGATCATGTACGTTCATATTCAGACTTCGTGCTCTCATATGACCGAAAAAATCGTGTACCACATTGGGTTTTTGAACATTTAACAGCAGAATCTGTTGCTAAAAATGATGCAGTTGATCGTTCTAAATGTGACTTCAGAGCTGATGAAAGCATACACCCATTCTTTCGTGCGCAAAATACAGACTACCGACGTTCTGGCTTTGACCGTGGTCATATGGCAGCTGCTGGCAATCATCGTCGTCATCAAAAACATTGTGAAGATACATTTTATCTTTCGAACATGGCACCACAAGTTGGACAGGGTTTTAATAGAGATTCATGGAATCGCCTAGAGTCTTATGTGCGGAAATTAACTAAAACGTATTCAAATGTTTATGTATGCACAGGTCCACTATATTTACCACGAAAAGAAGATGATGGCAATGTGTATATTAAATATCAAGTAATAGGAAATAATAATGTTGCGGTTCCCACACATTTTTATAAAGTTATTGTTGGTGAATCGGCAGACCAGAAACTTGAAATGGAGGCATATGTTATGCCAAACAAAGTGATAAGCGATGACACCCCACTACAAGTTTTTCAAGTGCCACCAGAGACTATTGAACGCGCTGCTGGACTACTATTTTTTGATAAAATTAATCGCAAGCAACTTACAAAAATTAATGGCATAAAAACGTGAAATACAATGTTAAATTATAGCTTATTGAAGGATGGAAAAATTATTAAAGTTATTATTTAATAATTATCTGTGCAATATAGAGATAAGAGAATGATTTATTATAAACGTTAAAATTTAAATTTAATATTATAATTATATTGTTAATTTATTTTATTTGTTATTGCCATTGAGTTTTCTGTTTTATTTGTTACAGTGAACAACGTTCAAACAAGGTTTAGAAAATAGCACAATAATAAAAAAGAGAATAATAAATAATTAGTAAATAAATAATAAACGAAATAATAAATACTTATTTAATTTTAAAATGCTTAATTTTAAAATTAATTTAAATGGTTTTTTTAATATATTCTCGCTCGACTTCGCTAAAGATTTTACAGATTCTAAATTGTTATAAATATAGAATATTATAATAATAGTAGACTAAAAAAGTTTTATAAAAGATAATAGTTTTTACTTAAAGTTATAAAATGCAATATAAATATAAGTTTCTTATGAAGTGAAAGACATGTGTATATATAGATGATAGCCTTCTAATACTAAGTGTTAATAATAATATTATAATATTTTATAATGTTGTATTTGTTATAATATCATTATGAATTTTTCAGATATAATATTAAAAACTAAAAAAAAAATTTATTGTTAACACAACTATCATTGTTGTTGTTATTATATCACAGTTGTAAGGAGTGACCGACACTTGTACAGATGTAAAGACAACTAGCCCCGTGACGTAGACCCTGAGTCTATTACTATTAATTTAATTTGATTGTAACAAGTATATTTATTAATATTCTAAACATATATTTTATAAAGTTCTAGAAATAATAACAAATCTTAACAAACGAAAACTAGCTTTGAAAACCATACTGGAAAAATGTAAAGTAAAAATATTATTTTGTAAAAACAATGATAGGAATAATGATAAGACACTGTTACCACAAAAATTATATACAGCTTAGTTTATTACTCAAAGCACTTAAAAAAGATAAATAATTTAGCCTTTGCGGTTATAATTTGAAGTTAAGTTTTTAACAAACTCAAAGCATTTAACCTGTCAAGGATATTTAATATGATGAAATTAGGAAGAACTCTCAATTTTTAGGTATTCTAATTTAATTAAATTAGGAAATTCTATTACTAAGCTTCCTAAGTCTCGCCCCCTGATCAGTGGTAATCGATTTCAGCTAGATGTCCTTCACAATCTGTTGGCTAAGATCTTCTCAACTCATTTCTAAGAGGTGGAACTTATTCTATCTATTCTATTTTTCCCAATAAATCTTTATTAATATTGGCGTAATATTTCTACCAAGACTTTCCACAATAAATATTGGCGCAATATTTCCTGAAAAGCTATATAGTCAGTTTATTTTTTGATTCTACACACCTTTTTTATTATATTATACTTTTATTCTAAAAGTAAAGTCAACTTTTCCATATTAAAAACAATCGGTCTCCAAGCTTCTCTCATTATAACTGATAAGGTTTCGATGCTCATAGAATTCTTTCATTAAAAATCGTTTGGCTAAATCTATACTCTATATTATTAACAGCAATTTACCAAACACTAATAATTCTAATTAAATCGATTTTTATCTCCGATATTTATCCAAAGTTCTGAATGGTTACTCGTATATTCCATGACATTAAATTAATAATAAATTAACAAATACAAGTTTTAGGACTACAGGATTTTTAATTAATTCAATATCATTTGAGGTTCATAACAAAACTCTTAAGCAAATTTAATTAAAAATACATATATAAATTAATAGTTTTTATTAAGCGATTAATAATGATTTTGCGAATAATACTCGCAATGAAATAGTTTCGGAACTAAACATTAAATATCTTACTTTTAAACAGTATTAGAAAATGTTATGTTGAGAAAATAAAATAAAAATAAAAGTGAAGCAATTTGAAAGCATTTTTCTAATGCTTGTGATATTCTGTTATGTGTGGGTGTGAAAATGATTTGATCTATTTATTGTCCATTATTTTTGGAGCGAACATCATCAATTTTAAGTATCATTTTGACGAGTTGCGTTGCTAATAGTATTTGTTGTTTCTTGGAATGCAAGGATTCAACAACATTATGATGTTTCATATCTGAATTTCCAGTTAACATACAGTCAACGCCAATACTTGGGCGATTTTCGGCATTTTGACGAGATTTCAGCTCTGATAATGTTTCAATTGGATGTAAACCACTATTTTCAGCCAAAGCTAATGGTATATTTTCCAAAGCTACAGAGAATGCGCGGAAAGCATACTGTTCCAAAGTAGATAATTGATCAGCTTGTTTAGCAACAGCAAGAGAGCAACTAATTTCAGCT